GATAATGGTCAACTAGGAATTGGATTACCAACAGTTGTCATTGGAAGTGAAAAAAACTTGGACTCACGGTCACGAAGTGAAAGCTTTCCTAGCACACATGGTTTGTGTGATAATGTACCCCCCTGGAACCCTAAACATTCGCAGTCGGATCCTGTGCTTAAATTTGAAGGGATGTCTGACTTACGAGTACAGGGTCCAAGGACTCCGTCTCTAAGCAGCGAAGATTCACATGAGAGTARGGATATGGACTGTTTAAATGCTCCTGGAATGAGTACGGTATCTCCGAATCGTATTCTAGGAGCTCACGGAAGACAATTATCTGACGTAACTGAAGGTGATGAAAGTGTTTCATCAGATTCTAAAGAAAATGCTCTTGACAATAAATTTTCACGCGAAAGTACTCTTGATTCAATTGAGGATGCAAAAGAACCATGCAGTCCTACTGAAGATGTTGATATTCCAATGTACGATCCTTTAATAAACCCATATATACCTGATCAAATAAGCACTACTCCACCAAAAGACTCCCTTGATGTTTGGGAGAAGAAACCAGATGAAGCAACRAGACCACGGCCTAGGAGCTACAAGCATTCTAGCACCAGTTCCTTTGGGACTTTAGTAGGTTCAATGGAAAATGAAGGGAATTCGTCAGTTGAGGTCTTCACAGAGGGTTCAATCGACAAAGAAGACAGTCAACCTACTTTGAAAGCAAGAGATCTTTCTGAAGTGGACAGTGGATCAATGGATTCGGATCAAACAGTTGTTTCTGCWGACGATGTCAGGKCAAAACGTAAAGCGCTAAGGAGGTGTACTCCTATTGAAGTCTAAATACAAGGAAGAATGTAAGTGGTTGGCTAATGTCTCCTTCACAAATCACTGAGGTGGTTAGAAGAATTGAGAAATTGATAGTTAATATGGTTTCTTGATCTGTTTTGTCATTGAAAGAAAGAGTTTGAAAACAATTCAGATTAAGTAACTATCCTTGCATTATTGACAGCTGTCAGTTATAATTATTGGTCCAAAACAAAAATGATATTTCAAGAATGGTGATTTTGAAATACTAATTTGTTATTTATTGCAACAGGTTCATACAATTAATGAATTAATGAAATTACAAAGAGTTAAAGACAACTCAAAGCCAAAAAAACATGATTTTTATGTACAAAGAGAAAATGCAGTCATTTGAAAAGATTTTGACCACTAACATGATTGTATTTAATTTACATTGTACAGTTTATGTGATTTTTTCTATGTTCTCTATCAACAACATCACAAATCCACCAAGCTAGTTGAAATTATGCTTAATGTGAGGATTATTTAAATATATTCCACAGTTTTACAAACTTAAAAAAAAGTCTTAATTTTCAAGTATCTACTGCCCTTTTGTTGATATTGAATATACAATGTATCTATATATGTTAGTGATTAGAAGTTCTTCAAATGACTGTATTACCTTTATTATTAGATGTAGCAAATATGCTACCTTTTACCATATAGCTTCTAGGGACATTTTTAGAAAAGTCCTTGGAAAAGTACCATTACAAATATGTCCCTACCTGGATGTACACTTCAAGATGTACCTGTGGGGGGATATACAATTATCATATTCTCAGAAGTTGTCAATAGATAAGGTATAACTTCTTCCAATACTCCAGTTTTGAGATCTTATTTAATTTTTGTGCAGTCTTAACCTCGAAAGCATGTAAATGTATTCTTTTATTCGGCAAAGAATGTATTGTAATGCAAAAACTCTGTGTACAAACAAGACAATAAACAATTTATGCTTGATTGAAGCTAAGCTTGCACAAAAGAGAATTCGAAACTGGAGTATTTTTTGTAGTTCTGTCACAATATTATATAAAATTATTTAGTATTTTGTAGAATAGAATTCTTTAAAAGGCATGTAGATTTATATTACTAGACAAAGGTCGAGATATTTATGCTATTGTTATTGGAGTGGACGCTATAAATCCATGAAACAAATGTTACTAATTACTACTAGTGGTTATTAGACAATTCAAGACAAAGAAATTAGCATAGTTTGCATCTATTTTGTACTATAATTGTTGTTTCACAGATTTAGAGAGTTCACTCTGGAATATATTTGCTTGTAGGATGTAGAATTTTTCATTTATTATTATTTTTAAAATAAGAAGAACTAAAGTGTTGTGGAATATAAGCTAACTCAGAGTCTCCTGATATTGCTACATGCTTCAGGATAAACATTTCAATAACTAAAAGAGCTGAATTCATATAGGGGGATGAATCAATGATTATTAATTTATTGACTCAGATTTATTTTTATTCAGTTTTATCCGGATGCATGCATCAATTTTAAAAGCAGATAAAAGATAATTTACAAGTCTTAATTTAAACATTTTTTAACTTATAAACTTATGTTTTTCCACGATATTCCTTTTCGTGGAATCTGMCATTGACATAGAATTCTTTAAAATGTTGACTTGACTWTTGCTTTTGTAGGCTGCATGTATAAAATCATTTGGCAGTGAACATAGTACATCTCAGTACTTCTTYATAAGTTCCTCTYGTCCACTTGAAAGGCAGCCACATACTTACATCAAGGTGACACCAGCCYAAGTTTCAAAAATTTKTTGTACTTTGATKGTAATAGTATGGCTTTCTTTCAAGATGAAGGTGAGATCTGGAAAAGAAGTATTTTCGCTTTATTAGCGACCATKATGTTCACTTTTAAACAATGTTTTTTAAGTTCTTTAAGACAGTATTTAATTTCCTATCCCTGGAGTCCAACCCTTTCCAGCTTTCAGGAAAGATTGTGGTCMTTGCAATGAGTAGAGATTATCAAATAGTATACTTACAAAGAGTATTGTTGAGAAGTAGAATAGATTATATAGCTATTTCAAAAAGGTGATTGTCAAAAGGCTATTGCACGACTGAAAGTAGACATGGGTTTCGCTTGGTGAAATGAAATAACAACTTTCAGTGATTTGCAGTGTAAGATGGTCTGTGGTAAACATTAAGTCTATGTAGGTGAATAGGTTAAATTTTGTTTATCAAAACAGTGTAACCATAGTCCCTTTCGGTCGTGCAATGTCCCTTCAACAATTGCTGTTTGCCATTCTCCCCGACAACATTTTTTATAGCTGTATACTTTAGTTAATCAAATTTCATGGTCTTTTGGCAAGATAAGTGTATTTAGCTGTTCTCTGGTCCATCTTAAGCAGTGACCTACATAGAGGCCGTCTTACACAAGAATCCCAAAAGAGGGCAGCTATACAGGCTAAAATTGACTGTGCATTGTTTAACCTGTGCAACAAAGTAAGAAGAAATACACTACAGTGAGATTGCAGAAACTTTATGATAAAAAAGATTAAATCTGACATATTTTCATCTTTGTTTTCTAAAGAAATGTTTTGGAACTGAATTAAATTTCTGCATTATCGCACCTAGCTAAATCTCACTGATCTTTTCAATGCAAAAGCAGTGCTACCTTTCAAGATCGCAAAGGAAACTGCATTGAACATGACTTGCCAATTTCCTTCTTACTAAAGTTGAGCTTACTGTTATTATAGTGAGGTACTTTAACCTGCAAATTAAATGACTTTGAATTTGTGGGTGGAATTGATATTCCCTTGTTAATATTAGAGTAAAGTGAGGACGAAACAGTTGGGTTGTTTGGGTTTCCTGTGCTGTCCTGACACAGGAGGCCCAAATTTGAAACGAGTTTTAGAGTTCATCAGTTTGTGGACTTCACTCTACCATAAGTTAATGAAACTATAAAAATTATACTGGATATAATTTTTAGCTATTTAATTTTGTATATCAATATAAGGTGTAATTGTTGAAATAATAACTTTGACATGGCTAAAACAATAGCAGAAAAAAAAATTGATCAGAAAAAAATATTTGCTGATGTATCAAATAACAATATAGTTATTTTCAAGTTGAATTGAGAATAAAATATCTTTGCTTGCAAGTTGAGAGGTATTGTGGGGACATGGGGGGTGCGGTGTAAATTTTTTGTTGGGCATCCCCCCCCTGAAAATGGTTAAAATTCACGCATGAGGACACAAAAAGTTTGTCTTAAGACTTAGTTTCATGATTTTGTTTGTAAAGAAAGACTATACACCTCTATACAAAAAGAAGCTAAGGGAAAAAWATTAATAAAAAAAGAACTGGGGAGGGGAGGAGAGAATTCCTTTATCAAACCCGCGCGCCACGCATGCGCATTTGAAGTTTTCCTGGCCGGTTTCTACAATGTCTGATAATTCAAAAATATTCTTGTTATAAGTAGTTGTTTTCGTTTCTWTTAATCTAAAAAATAACCATGGAATCTAAAGACCTTTTAAGTACTCTTAGACGATTTGATGCCTATCCAAAGACACTAGAAGATTTTAGAATCAAGACATTCGGAGGGGCTGCAGGTTTGTTTGTCAGTTCGAWGCGCGTTCGACAGAATTTCTCGATATATTTGTTAAATTTGTTTCCTTGTAAGAAGTAGCCAAAGCTTAATTAGGCTGTATATTATAGTAAGATCATAGGCAGAGTTTAATTAAGCATTTTATGCCGATATATCTATATTTTTAATGTGAAAAGTTTCGAGTAAGATCAAGWATTTGCATTGTTTAGCAGTTGTAAACGTGGCAACATTTCGCGCGAACAGCAATCAATTTGAAAAACTTTCTACTTCAAAATAAATATTGAAGCTGTCTTGAAAGTGTAATTTTCTTTTACAAAAAATACGCCATTGGTTGAATGATCCAGAATTATTTGTTTACAAAGCTGTGTTAGAAAAGTGGGATGTTTTGGAGCCTTCTAAAATAAGCTTACCTGTATTTTGAATTGAATTTTTTTACTTTTTGTTCCAAGTAGGTTTTATGGATTCACAAAGTACGAAATCTCTTTGAGTTGATTTTTATAAAAGTATAAAATTTCAAAAGAGTTGTTGATATTATTTTGTCTGTTTTTTAAAACCAAAACATGCACTAAAGAATTAACTATATTTTTTCCTTTTGTTTCAGTTACACTTATTAGCGGAGTTATTATGTTTCTTTTATTTGTATCTGAATTAAACTATTACTTAACGACTGAGGTAACTAGAAATATTGCATTCATATTTTAATCTTTTCCATTTGTATCCCATTGCGTTMCATTCCATTCTTCTTATTCTATTTCATTTTATTCAATTTTGAATCATACTAAGATTTGGAATTCTAAAATACTCATCCAATTGCTCTCACACCTGGTGGCAATACAGACACCCCTCACTGCTCAAAAAGTAATGGAATATCAATTTCCCTTTATTTCAAACAAGTACTCACTAATAGCCGACTTGCGAATTACGCATCAATAGTCACATACAAAGGAATCAAGACGAGGCGCCATGCTAAAGACAATAGATTTTTCACAAAAAAGCATGGTGCCTCGTCTTGATTCCTTTGTATGTGACTATTGATGCGTAATTCGCAAGTCGGCTATTCAAACACTTTGCCAGAGCAATAACAAGTCTTAGAGCTGCMTTTAGTAATGCAAAGCATGTGTAAAGGTATCATTAATTGTTGTGTATTTCTTGTAGGTAACTCCAGAACTGTTTGTAGATACGACAAGAGGGCAAAAGCTTAAAATTAATGTAGATATCAGTTTTGCAAGATTGCCTTGTGTTTGTAAGTACGATAAATAATTTATTATTGCAAAAAAATAGAACAAAATTAACTAATTGTTTTACTAATTCCAAGCTACATTGCTCAAATTTAGAATTAACGTTTGTAATTCTTATCATGATTTGTCATGTTTTTTTCAGATCTTAGTATAGATGCTATGGATGTGTCTGGTGAACAACAGGTACGTACTTATAAAGGGTCTCGGAATGAGAGTATGAAAATCCCCCATATTAGGTGAAAACTAAACCTCCTCACATGAAAGACAGCTCTACATTCATCTCTAATTGTCAAGTCAGACTTGAAGTATAATGTACAAATGTTTGGTTTCAAGGGATGTTTCTTGAAAACCCCATACATTCTTTGTTATAGTCAAGTTTGAAAATATTGCTTGCCACTGTGTTATAATTATTATTATTATTATCATCACCATCATCATCTATCATCATCATCATCATCATTATTATAATTATTTGTCTGAATACACTCAAACTCTGCATATTTTGATACCCTCTTTCTTTTCATGGAAGCTTCACACTGCATCATTTTGATGTAAGTCTGTAATCCTTTTTTTTCAGAAAGGACAATTATATTATACATAGAATGAATTTTATTATAAAATTTATATCATTTCATCATTTGGCATGGTTAAGTTAACAGTTGAGATTTTAAATTGGTTGATGGATTGATTATAAGCTAATGAACTAAAATAATTAGTCATCAGTGATTAAATAATGAGTTATTAAATGTAATTAATTAGATTGATGTAGCAAGTCATATGTTAAAGAAAAGACTTAATTTAGATGGTGAACCTATTGACGAAAAAGCTGAAAAAGAAGGTAATACAATGCTGTTATGGACTGAC